TTGTTATCTTTTTCTAGAAGCTGAGTATCTATGGAGATTTGGAGTATATGAATGAACAAAAATTGAATCGATATCCAACCTCTGCTCTCGTGATAGTAAAATGTAAAGCTGATGAACAAGAAGCGGGACCTCTGCCTACAAAAGTTAATTTAACTCAATCAGCAATATAAAATGGAAAACCAGATTTATTAATCTAATTCTTTGACTTCTGTTAATTCTGGTAGTTTTTTAAAATTAAAGAGGCCTTGAAGTATGTTAGCTAGTATTTAGATTCAAACAAAATTGCAGAATCAAAGAAGGAATGGAATTCAGCCTCTTTCAGCAGTCAAGCAAATCACCTGGGGTACAAGGGGTTTCTAGTGCATTTATACTTGTCTATGTTTTCTTGGATTACTAAAAGTCCTAAGTATTTGTCTATGCATTGACATTTGTATATTATGAACATATGTCAGAAAATATATTTTGAATCTGTTTCAAAAAGTGTAACTTTTTGGTAGTCAAAGGCACTTTAAGTTATCTTAGCTGTGGATAAATTAAATGGCTGTAGCATAGCTTGCAAACTCTTTACCATTTCAAACATCTCTTTTTCCACAACTAAAAATATTTTTTTGTTTAACCTTATGCCTGTTTCCTCTGCTGAAATAATTGTGGGTCACAAATAAACTTTAATAAAATCCCTCTACATATTAGAGAATCACTTTTGTATTGCATTCCATAACAAGCCTTTTAAAATTAGACAGCATTCTCTGTATGAAAGTTCTCCTACAGTTTGTATCTTAGATTGATGGTGCCACTTTTCAAAAACTTTATTAAGAATATGAGTAGAAATCTTGTTTGACTTCATCTGTGCAATATTTACCATGAACTTAATGGACTCATAAGTAGAAAACATGATTTTCCTATAGCTCTGTCAAAAAATTTTCCCTATCCATATTTTTGTTTTAGAAAATGCAATTGAAAGCTATTGCCTTTAAAAATAAATTTGATACATTAATGCATGCTACAGTGGAAATCTAGTATTAAAAAGAAGGCTCTAGAATCTTTGTTCCATGTTAATAGAATATTTCTGAAAAATAGCCCTGAACAAAAGGCTGAATATTGTCTCTGGACTGTTTTTAAAAAACAAATATAACTCTTCTGGGCTTCAGCTTTTAAAATACATGATAACTTCTATATCAATTGTTTTTATTTTAATTTGCAGGCATTGATTAAGTTCTAATTACTTTAACTAGAATTGCTTTACATTATTTCTTTTTGAATTCCAGTTCTTTATGATGTTTCTGTCTCAACAGACATGATATTCTTCCGATTAAAATCGGAATTCTGATTTTGGGGGGGAATTTCCCCCCTCCTTCCCCCCGCTTCTTCTCCTCCTTCCCCTCCCCTCGGAGGCCCCCTGAGTCAGGAGTTGCTACTGCTGGCACGGCTCCGCGTGGCTCCAGTCCCGCGTTGCCTCGGGAAGGGAAAGGCAAAAAGGAGCCGCGGCGGCGCTTTACAACGGTAGCAGTGGCACTGGAGGCTCAGGCGTAGCGGCTCCCGGGTTTCTTCTTCCTCCTCCTGGTACCTTTCAGTCCATGGATACTTAAAGAGAACCGGGACACCTTGAATGGAGAGCCACAGAGGCACGCAGAGCCCCAGCCGGATACCTGAGCGGAGCCTGGGCGGTGTGACCGGAGGCTGCTGAGCGGCAGGAAAAGGGAGCTGGGCAGCCACAGACCAGCCGTCTTTCCGTCGGCCTCGGCTGAATCTCTGCCTCCCAGCGCACTTGGTCCTCCCCCCGCAGGCTTCCCCGGCCCCTTGCCAAGCGGGTTTTCCTCCCCAGCCCTGTAGGGCCCTCGCTGCCTTCCCCTTGCCTGGCCGGCCAGGCTCCTTAGACAACCCAGCTGCCTCCTGCTGAGAAGCGCACTGCCAGGCGGGGTCCACGTGATGCAGGGCAACACGCCACCTCCCGACCCTGGCGAGGGAAAGCGGGTGCTCCCTGGGTGGCGGCCTCTGCCCCGCCACCAGGGAAGCAGCTGCCCAGCTCCGGAGCTGATCCACACCTGACCGGTTGGAAAGGAAGGGTGTGTAGCATTGGTGTTGTGCATGCGATTTCTTGCCGTGCAGCACAGAGTCGCTTTTGACCGGCCCCAATTTTTTTTTCAGAGGGGAATATCTTGCCTGGTCTCAAGTGCAGATCTAATGCTTAACATAGGTTACATTAAATATACCTTTGTAGGTTGATAGAAAGTTGTATGTTCTCTGTTGGAGGCTCTTCAATGTATTACAATGAATTTGTTCAGCATGAGAAACATGAACAAAACATAATCGTCATTCTACGATAAATTCTTTAAAAGAGCCCGTAGTTCAGTTTTTATAATATTTCGCTTTTATTCTTTAGTAGGCAAAGCCTACTTCAATTTTGTTATTATATAAAACTTAAGGTTCTGCTCTGAGAACAATTCTGAGATGGCAGAAGTAAGCCTTTCTATGTAGATAATCTCACAATAGAAGCAGTCTCTAATTCCCTGCTATCAGTATATCACCATAGCCTGTTAAAAAATGAAGCCAATTCTATAGGATATAGGAAATACAAGTGCAGAAGTTTCAAAAGTGATTCTATCTAATAAACCTGCTAATTAAAACAATTCCCAGAACCTTTGATCAAAAGACAAAACTAGTGGGAGAAAATCTAGATTTGAATGAACTTTATTTTTTGCCCTTCATCTCACGGAATCTCCAGGAATAAAGTTTGAAAAAACTTGATAGAGAATATGGTTTCTTGGTGTGTTTTTTTTTTAATGAAAATACTCTGGATCACAACTTTTCAAGATCAGTTTGATCCTAATGTAAACAAGTATAAAATTATAAGTGCTTCAAAATATACCTTAAATAAGAAAATATGTGTTTCAAATTACATCATACCTCAAAATTAGTTTGATCTAGTTGTGCTCTAAAATGTTGTGCTTAAGCAACAGTGAGATATCTGAATCTTTCATAACTATAGAGGTCTACAAAATACACCTTTTGTGAACATAGTTCCTAATACAGATCATCTCAGGCAAAATGTAAATATTCCCAATCTACACATTCACAAGGCAGAAAATGTTCACACATAGGGAATTATTCTGGCCTTTCCCTCTTTGCTGGAAAGAACATTTGGAGTCATTTTAAATTCTGGCAGAACTTCATAATCTGTGGACTAAAGCAAGTTATAGCTGTGATTTCCCAGAACTTCTCATTACAGCGCGGATGTGTCTGGAACCTAAGGATGTCCAGATAATTGAAATATGAAAAAACTTAATTCTGGTTTTGAAAAAATTTAGCCATGAATCAGCAATAAGATGAGTATCTTTTGTGTTGTGGATAATTCTCCTGTCTTAAGGAGACTGATAAGGACCGACGCTTAAACACCTAATTATATAATTTAAACAGAAATAAGTTATAGAATTAGGTATTTAAGGCTTAGTCCTTATCAATCTGGACCCCAAATTATTTTAACGTTAGTGTAATTTGTATTCATTTTTTAAAATTTCTCTAGTCTCTTGTTTATGAAGTTTCCTGTTGAGAGAACAAGCAACATTCTATGGTCTAGGTTAGAACATAACGTTTGTCTTAGTAAAAGTTACAAGTTGTATCTCTCTGCCTTGAATAGCTCTGTTATTTAGCTCCTTACTATTGAGCATTTGCCTAAAAGATTTTAAAGTAAAAATATTTTATATTTTTCTTTTTCTATAATAAACTTTAATCTTATTTGTTTCTTGTGAAATTGGTCTATCTCCCAAAGAGAGGTGCAAGGGCTGTATCTTCTAGCCAAAAGCTTATAAGCTACATGGCCAGGAGGTTGAACAATAGAAATTATTTCATTCCCCCTCTCCATTTTTCCCTTTTAATTGCAGAAACAGCACAGGTGATGACAAGTTTATGTTTCTCTGACCATTATGATTGTGGGCGGGGGAGGGAAGATACCATGTGAGTCACTCACTAGAAAATAAATTATTTTGTTTGCTAAGTACTGAGCCATTATTCCCAAGGTAGGAAGATCAAACTGATGTGAACTCTAGAAAGATGTTGGCACAGGCAGATCTTGTGCTTTCCAGCCTCTAGCTTAGCTTTGTCACTATTCTGTATGCTTTATTTAGATCCTCTGCAAAATTAGTCCTCTGCACTTACTTTAAGTAAATCTGAGGTTGAATTTAAAGGCAGAAAGTTCGTTAGGCAATGTTTAAAGGTTGTTCTTTCCACAGCAAAACAAGCATATACTTATCTCAAAATTTAAATAGATTATTTTTTTTCTAAAATTCCAGTTACTGTGACAATGGTCTGTATAGCAATCTATTACATACAAACTGAACACCATATGGATGCTATTAACATATTGTATGTAGCTCTCAAGGCTATCCAGTTGAAAATCAGTTGTTAGAAATAAGATTTCTGTCCATTTCAAACAGCTAAATCCATGCTGTTTCAAAAGTATCTTTTTTAAGTTTTTAAAACAACTCAGTACCATTAAAGGTTATCCCAAATTTAAAAAGTAAACTAGTGTTTTCCTATACCAATTACATTATAAATGATACTAGTCAAAGAGACAAATCTAATTTAAAAATTGCAGCTCTGAACTATTTTAGTAACAGAGTTCTAGGTTTGGCTAATTAAGAACAAAAACCATAGGTGAGCCCTCAAATATTGAAAAAAGTATGGTCACATCATGTGTTTATACAGTATATAAAAACCATTATGAAACAAAGCCCCTTTGTAAAGCTGCAATAATATGTGTTTATATCATTGTAGCTTTACAAAGGGGCTTTGTTTCACAATGGTTGTCTTTACATATAAAGAAATAATTTAAAAGTCAAGTTGGTTTATTTCCTGAGCTCTCAAAGTAAAATCATTCTTGCCTACAATTAGTTTGTTCTTGCCCATAAATACGTTATTAGTGTTATTTGTGAAATTTATGTTTCTAGCAGTGGCTGAATCATTATTGGTAATTTTCTTTGAAGGCTGAAAGGCACAACATTTTCCCCGGTTTGTGCTTACTTCCGTTTTCTTCAATATGATGGGGATGAAGTCGTAAGTAAAAGAAGAAAAGAGTCATTCTCTTTTGTTCTTTTGTTTCTCTTAGTAACCAGGTAACCCAACCCCAGGTATATAATCTGGTGGCTTGGTCTCCTAATCAACACGCCATTTAATAAAAACTAGCTTCTCTTTCTGTCTTGAGTAGCACTAGCAACATCATTTTAACACTGATGTTTGAATGGTCAGTATAATCCTGCTCGGCTTCAAGAAGGAAAATGAACAGAACTTACCCACAGGTAATTGGCCACCCCTTTAAGATAATTATAATTAACCTTACTGGATTAAAATAACAACTTTTGTTTTCTGTAAACAAACTACAAATGCTGGAATATCCTGTGCAGTTACTTTAGTAACAGAAAGTTGAATTAAATATAATTGAATATTTTGATATTTACATGATTTTCCAAATGTGCATAATGATATATGATGTAGTATTTTTTAATTTACTTCAGTTATTTTTCTTGTATCCCTCAAGATTGCTTAGAGGTTTTCTCTAATTTTATCCCAGCAATAATACCCTGATGTGTCGCAATGTGCTTCATGGTTGTGCATCTTCAGAGCTCTTGAACTTGGCCTCCTGGTCCAAATCTATTTACTGCCTTAACTGATGTAGCTACTAAAGTAGTTACTTGCTTTAAAGATCTTGGCTCAATATTTATTTTATTTTTATTAATTATAGAATATTGATACGGATTCACTGGGTTCAACCAAATCTCATCTCACTGATAAGAAAGGTAAAAAGTTCTGAATACTTATTCAGTGACAAAGTACTTAGATGCTTAATATGTATGTTGAAATGATTTTTTTGGGAGAGTAGAAAATACACAGTCACAGCACACAAATACACAGTTAATGCTGCTATATGAAATTTTTATAGTTTTGAATTAGAAAATTGTTAACGGTGTATAATTATTAGAAATAGAAATTGCTACCCATTCAAAAATGACTTCTCATGAGGTTACAACTTGGAAATGTATATTATGAAACTGGGAACAGAGAAAGGTATCATGATCTAATTCCATATTAAATGTTAATTTAATAACATTTGTGATTTTTAATGGACTACATTTTCCAAGATACTAGAATAATGGATGGATGGATGAAAAATGTGGCTGTACAAATGGAAAACAGGGTAGCATTTTTAAATCATTATTATTCATTTTTCACTTCTTTCTGTGCATATATTCCCAGTCCTACTAGCTGGGGATTCTGTGAGTGATGGTCCAAAACAACTGAAAGACGTGAAATTGTACAAGGATGTACTAGCAGAGACTTTGTAGAATTTCAAGACAGACTCAACATTATAAAAGGATAACAGTTATTATTTACTTAATTTTTCTAAAGCATTTCTGTGGCCACCCAACTCACACAAGGCATACAAAAAGGGAAAAATCATAACCAACAAATACAAAAGCTGGATATATAATTAAAAGCTAATAAAACAAAAATAAAAAGAGAGGATTGGGGCAGCAGTATGCTATAATTTCTCGGTGTGAGTCTCCCCATACCAGATCCGTCGTACAGAAAAGAAGCAGGACTTCCCTGCCTTTCTAAAGGTCTGTAGGATGGTACATCGATCCATATCTATGCTAATTGAAAGAAAAGGAGATATATACACTTGAGAAGGAAGTGGGAAAAATAAATGGCATGAATTTGTTCTGAAATAGCATCAATGGAAGGATCTGATATCACTTATCGGTACAGAATAACAGAAGAAATATTGAGAAATTTATTCTCTGTTAAGCTACTTAAAGGTTGGAAAGATAAAACCCAAAATGTGATAAATATATTTCTCTTGGGCTTGAAATCCTGTTTATTTCCTCAGTTTTCTTGTAGCGTTCACTGAACAAGAGGCGTAGTTTGGAACACAACTTTTACCTGCTGCAGAATCAGATTCAGTCTTCAATCTGTCCATTTAGGAAAGAACATTACATCCAGGAGGTTTAAAAAAAATCACAACCTAAAGAATATTGGCTGAATAAGGACCCTAAATTTCTAAAATAAACATTGTAAAAGACAAATGTATTTGTTTATTAGATATTACTATATCATTTAAGGAAGACCAATTTGGAGTTCCTGGTGGACAAAATAGTCTTGGTGTTCAGTGGCATTAAGACAACAGTATGTCCCATTAGATGAATGTTTCTCAATTTCAGTAACTTCAAGATGGGTGGACTTGAATTCCTAGAATTTCTTAGCCAGTGTGATGTCCACCCATCTTAAAGTTCCTTGAAATTGAGAAACACTGCATTAGATTTGACTTTAAGAGATTTTGAGAAATGAAAACACTACAAAATTCATGCAGCTATACAGGCTTTATTTTTAATGTGAATAGATCATATGGTCCATGACAAGAACAAAGACTTTTAAGCATATAAATATTTTATATGAAGGAAAAAGTAAAGTCTCCTGCAAATCAGGATCAGATGATGGCTAACTTCTCTGTTGTTTTCCTGGTAATGATACAGAAGTGCTTTGACACTGACATCTTCAGGATGTTTTTTTTTTTTTTCTATTGAGCTACAGTCCTGTTATTCCTAGTAATCTCCCTTGCAGATTCCAATCAGGTCCAAGTTGCTTACATTTTTGTGATCTGCCACGGCCAGGCAAGCGCTGCTCACTGTATGGAGTAAACTTCAATGATGCTTAGAATCCATGTATTTCCCCCATGCCACTCCAATGGTCTTATGTAGGTCTTTTAGAAATAAATTAATTGTTGGGAGCTGGCAGAAGCCAATAATACGCACATGAATTCTGCAGTAGTTTTATTTCAACAGCCGGTACCACTCATGACCAACCAGACTGCTGCAGAAAGTGTTTTTCATGGACCCTTTGCACTCGACGATGCATCTGTGTATCTGCCATTAGTCTTATTATACTTGGAATAATCATTGCCATCATCACATTGGCTGTGACTGTCGGCATTCCTCCTCCTAGCCCAGGTCAGTTATTTGCAAATTTCAGTTTTAGTCTAACATCTACACCACAGGAAGAATAGTCATGGCTCTTTCAGTATGTCAGATGGTGAGAGTATTGTCTTAAATATCAAGAGTTAGAAGAGAGGAGAACTTAATTGTTTATCAATATAACCAATAATGGACATTTTTAAAGCACAGTTTGATTTGTCATCGGTAGCCACTTCAGAGGGACTCGTAGACCTTCTGTTCTCTTTGTAAAGTTTCATTGTCAGGGAAATATCTGTTGTTTGTAACATTTACATAGTGGATGTTTTTTATTTACTATTATACGTATCTTCCATAAACAGCTGTCTATGGACCGATTCAGATACTCTAATCTCGAAACGGCGTTGCCATGATTGCAGCTAGATGCTAGAAATGACTATTCTAGCCTTATGATCTAGCATCAGTAAGTCTCTTTTGAGTCACTAATGACTTTTCAAACATAACCATGCAGTTTTCTTGGCAATAGGATGGACATGTTTTGTCGTGACATCTTTTAGTGCTTCCTAGTCTAACAAATTAGCTCTGATCCTGTTTAGTTTCTGGGGCAAAGCTAGGTCAGCCAGATACTACTATCTATACTCAGGTAAATCAACATACAACCCATAAATGAATCATTTGATCACCTCTTTCTATGTCCAACTCATGTGAGTATGGCAACATTGTTATGGTGGATTTAGGTCCACTAAATCTAGGGAAGCTAAATGATACATCTAAATAATTATCATTTCCCTCTTAATAAAAATGCATCTATTTCTTTAAAAAATTAATTTTATGGAATACCACATTTATATTATGCAGGACAGTATGTCATAAACAGTGAAGATAGTGAAGCCTCATATACTATTTTTATTCCACTCCATCTCTCATTTACCCATTTATATGGGAAGGTCTAAAATGAGATTCTAAGGTTATCAATACATCAGTTGGATATAGTTGCAACTTTCCTTCAGATTTCCCTGCTCAAATTGTGAAGATCAGGGTGAAGGTGGCAGTCACCTTACATAACCTTTCTATGCTTATACACGCTGTAGTAGAGTGTAAAAGGGATTTATTAGGTGAGAGATAGGTCAAATCTCTTAATTGTATGTCAGCGATATAATTATCCAAACTGCTTTTTTGAGTCAGATGCTGCAACATCCATAATATAGCTTATAATTAGCCAACATTTACCGAAATGAGTGTTAATAACTCCACTTTGATATACACTGTCAGTTTGCAATTTGCAACAAGTTCCACACCTTTTGAAGATGAATTTGAGTGCCACTAAAAGGTATATGATCTAATAAAATTAATATTGTAGCAGTCAAAACACCAAGTGCTCTATGTTTTGTTGGACACAATATGAAATATATGTAGATATATCTTTTTTTTTCAAGTAGACCAATTTTCCTTTAATTCTCATGCTGCTCTAAGTTCAAAGTTGTTTTTCCCATGATATAATTAACATGATGTTTGTTACAAATTATATAACTGACTTTTTATAGTTAGTCCTTGATTAGCAACAGCAATGGAACTTGCCCATTACAGCCATAATGGTCTTGAAATGGATCACCCATGTGACCAACCTGATTTGACAACTTTTGCAACAATCATTAAATGATTAAGTCATTTAACAAATCAATTGTTCACTATGGCTGGATTTGCCAAAAACCAGAAGTAAATGCTGGTTTTGGGCAAAACCATTGTAAAACATGGTCACTTGACCACAGGACACTGTAAAAAACTGCAAATGTAGGCCAGATGCTAAACGCCTAACACACAGTCACATGACTGCAGAGGGAGTCAACCATTGGAACTTCAGAACTGGGTTGTGAGAACTCCTGGGGAAGTCCATCATAACTTTGAATGGTCCCACTGGTCATAAATCAAAGAATACTTGCATACACTGCAATTAATATTTGACACATAGTATTATGTGACAGGATATGTGACATGATAAAGGCATAAATCTTTTGATATTCGAATTCACATAATTCCAATTATTGGCCAGAAGGGGATGAAGGATGGGGTTAGCCATCAAATCTGAAGATCCAGTAATATGGGGATGGAATCTGTAAGGCAATTATAGTGTTAGGGAAACTGACTGTGCTCTCCTGCAAATGATGCTTTATGGTTTTAATGGTTTTACTGCTTTTAATTTTTGATTATTTCTTGTACAGTACTGTTCTTTGTGGTTTTAACTTTGTATACTGTCCAGAGTATTAGTAAGTTGTTCTGTGACAGTTCTATAGAAATTATGTTAAATTCAGTTTTATTAGAAAAGTGGAAAGAAGGAATTATAGTATCTGAAGATTAATGATACTTGTATATCTAAAACCTTAATTTGAATTGAAAATTAAAGTTTTTAGATCTGTAATTAAATTTGAATTGCATCAAATTTCATAGAGGTATATACTATATTATTGAGTGTCAGTATTTACAATTAGTTTGCTCTTGGTTTTATTTTTCAGTTAACCGTTTATGTGTGACTACCAGTAAGCAAACAGGCTTTTTATGTGATAACAGAGAGACCTGCATTCCAGCCAGTGAAGTTTGTGACACAAGACAAAATTGTGCCAATGGGGAAGATGAGCAAGAAGCATTATGTAGTAAGAGCCTTATGTTGTGCCCTTCTTCTTGCCCTCTTCATATTACAATGTTTTTCAAAAACTTTAACCTTAGACCAGGGGTCCCCAACCACCGGGCCCGGACTGGTACCAGTCCAAGGATCATTTTCTACAGGGATGCCGGTTTGCTGGGTGCCGCCATCTTGTTTCAACGAGAAAGTGCTTCCGGGCGAGCTTTTCCGGTTGGAAAGCAGAGTTTGGGTCCTGAAGGAATCTTCGCACCTTAGTTTCATCGAAGGTGGGGGCGGCTTCGAACAAAGAGCCGTCCTGATGGCGGAGGAGATTAAGAAAGCACAAAAAAGGCACAAAGGAGGAGTTGAAGGTGACGGGGAGAAGCAGGGGACGGCTGGCTGGCCGGTCGCTTGGCTCGCCTTGCCTTGTCATGCGTGCTGATGCCAGTACTGGGCCGTGGATCATTTTGTGATGCTGGTACCGGGCCGTGGCACAAAAAAGGTTGGGGGCCACTGCCTTAGACTGTCTACTATTGACCTCATCCCTTTCCTAAGAGGTCTGTAGGGGGCGTGCATAAGCACACCAACATGCCTACCATCCCTGTCCTATTGTTTCTTTTTATTTCTCTTATATGTACCCATTTCTTGTATTCATAACTATGTTTATACTTATACTTATTATCTTGTAAGCAATTGACAAATCAAATAAATAAATAAAAATAAAATATCTTGGGCTCCTTATAAAGAATATATGATTATATATTCTACAGTTTTAATGTATCATGTTATTTTTATTTAGAAGGGAATGTTTGGTTATTTATGCTATATCTTAAAGCAAACAACTGGCTTAATATAGGGCTACAAGATCTTAAGGTCCAAAACTACTGTACAAGTGTTCTTAAAACAATATAGAAATTAATATGCAAATATGTTAGCTCATTTGTATATTAATTTTCTATATGGCTTTAAGAACACTTATATAGCCTGCATAGTAAGTTGCATAATATTGTGAGTAATTTCTCCCCAATAACATCTGCATTTGAATATTTGTGGATTTCAATTGAATCTAATATTCTTTTTCTAAACAAGACCCCTTTATTCTATTGCTCTAGCAAATAATATAAACATTAAGCTGAAGAGAGAGCCTATAATATCAGGGTAAGCACAGTATTATTGAAAAGCAGAATATATATAGTGATCATTCGAAGTTACAACGGCACTGAAAAAATGTGACTTATGACCACATTGTAACATCCCCATGGCCACATGATCAAAATTCGGATGCTTGCCAACTGGCATGTGTTTATGCCAGTTGCAGAGGTCCAGGGTCATGTGATCATCTTTTCCGACCTTCTGACTAGTAAAGTCAACGGGGAAGCCAGATTCACATGTTACTAACTTAACAATTGCAGTGATTCACTTAACTGTTGTGGCAAAAAAAGGTCACAGAATAGGGAAAAACTCAATTAGCAACTCTCTTGCTTCGCAACAAAAATGTTGGGCTCAATTGTGATCGTAAGTTGACAACTATCTATAGTAGCATAAGTTGCAGTACTTTTTGAAATAGAAATACAATAATAACCACCAGAAATGAACTAAGAATAAAATGATCTCAGATCTCTTTGATTTCTTCTGATGTATCTCTGCATATTTCTCATTTCAGCAAATAGTTTTCATACAGTTGCATTTTTCTGCTAACAATATGGGAGTTTTTGCTTTGGTGTCAAATCTTGTTTGCATTCATCCTCTGGCGTAATTCATTTTTCCCCATCTTATTCCCAGTGCATATGGTCAACCAGATTTTTCTATGTAATTATTTCAAGATGAGCCCATTGGGATTTTTTTAAAAAAAAATCTCACATAGTTCAGGAAAATACAACAAAGGACAGTAGGAAATGAGAAGCTAGGAGGACTTCTCATTGACTTTGAATGGCTTACATCATATTTGAATTTTCCAGAACATTATGTTTTAAATTAGAATTAGGTTATGGTCAAAGACAAGATTCAGATATTCTGCATTTCTTTAACCTCACTACTGCAAGCTCTGGATGTGCCTTTTTGAAAAATTGGTCCATTTTGTTTTAAGATTACAATTAACAGATCTGATCTGAGAAATTGATTCTAAATGAAAGGTATCAATAAGTCTTGATCACTGTCCCACTTCACACTTTCTTTATTTCTATTTTTTTTCAGAAGCTAGATTCATACGTTGCACTAAGGCATACGGACTTGACATCTTAGCTTAGGCTGAACTGGAATTAGTAGTTTATGATTCAGGAGGTTATGGGAAGTCAGTCTTTGTCTTAACATGTCTGAGCAATTATGTTTGTAATGTGGAAAGAATTTTAATTCAAAATTAGATTTATTCCTATACTGTCTCTAACCCTCCTTTTGTTCATTAACTTGACCCCCCAGTAACTGAAACTAGAATACTATGTTGCAAACAGTCAATATAATGTTGCAAAGATTTCTAATCCACTTCCTCCACTGATACAATGACCAGGCTAAACTAATTAATCTGGCAAATAATAGCAGACAGGGAAAAACCTTTCTCAATACAGAATTTCCCTGCGTACACAGAAATGGCACCCAAAATCAACACGTAGGCACACACCAAATCTACACATAAACTAAGCAAAGTAAGATAAGAACTTTTTCATTAGACCTGCACACCTACCAAATTAAACACCACAAGGGCACATTCATACACACCTCACAAAGGACCGTCTCTCCTATAAATATTCCTAGTCTCTGTATCCCAAATTGTAGCTACGTCAAGTGCTGCTTCTATGTTCTTGGATACATTTCTTTCTCTTCAAGCAGCTGAATCCCATGTCGCTGTTACACAATCCCAACTGAAATTTGAATATTCTTCTGACAGTAAAGTCTTTTTAGAGTTGAACATGCTATGGGTATTCACCTAGTGTGACTGGTTTGGTTTTGGTTTAGTATATTGTGTGAATACAGACAGTTATGGATTATTTAATAAACCATTGCACAAACTGCACATTTGATCAATGCATCCTATTTTGGCATGCAAGCTCATTTTACCAGGAATCTCTGTTTTGTATGGTACTCTCTAAAACAGGAATCTCGAACCTTGGCCACTTTAAGACTTGTGGACTTCAACTCCCAGAGTTTCTCAGCCAGCCTGTTCTAAAAGGTCACGCTCATGGTTGAAAAATGAACTAGTTAACTAACTCAGGTTGTGGCAAAAATACCTTTACTGTTGTACAAATACAGGGCTTCTTGGTACTCAGTTTACAGAATATAGAATAACATAGTTGGAAAGGACCTTGGAAGTCTTCTAACTAATCTTCTCGAGTGGAAGATGTCCTATATCAGGGGTGTCAAACTCGCAACCTGCAAGCCAGATGCGTCATGCACTGGCCATGCCCACCCCAGGTTTAGCGAAGGTGGGAAAGTTGCAATACGTCACGTGACAACGCCATGATGAGGTGAGTTTGACACCCCTGTCCTATACCATTCTGGACAAATAGTTATTCAATCTCTTTCTTAAAATCTCCAGTGATGGAGACCAACTTATTTTTGTTCCAAAGCAGGCTAACAGTTCAGAATTCATAGGGACAGTTTAAGAAAAACTAGATTTTTTCTAGATACACTTTAGAACTACAATCCATATATGAAAATATTTAAACTTGGCATCCAAAAGGTTTAAACCAAAAACAGCTACTGAAACAATAAATTTTTAAAAAATCATTACGTTTATTCTGCAATAAAGATTTCAACCCCCAACAGCTTGCATTTCTCAGCAAAATCAGTGTCCTGTTGACATTATGTTTCCTTCCGTACCCAAGTTTTTATACTTGACAGGTCTGGGTTTATTTATTAGTATAATTTTTTTTTCTTGACAGGTCACATTTTAAGGAAACTTTTTTTTTTTAACAACAGTGTAAGCTTACATTTATTTGCTGTTTTGGTAGGTGATTTGCCAAAAAGCCTTCCTGGACACTTGATATTTTATTGCAAGAATCGCAGGCTTTGGATCTACGCAGACAAAAGGTGTAATGGATTTAACGATTGTGGAGATTGTTCTGATGAAATAGGGTCACGTGAGTCCTTTATTTGTTGGAAAAATAAAATTTAAGTTTTAAATATAAATGAATGTTTTAAGACTTTTGTTGCCTCCCAAAGTGTTTTGCTTTAGTTGACCTTGCCCTCAACACACACACACTCTCTCTCCTACACAACAAAGGGGAAACAGAAGACTGGTTATTCAAGTCCAGAGCAAAGGAATTAAGTGTAACTCAGTATAGAACTATGCAGTTCTGGCTAGTTTCTTCCTGTTTGGCTGATGTTCTTCCTTATGTAGGTCCTTTTGACTTTCTGGCCAACGGATGAGAAAAGAGTTAGCTCCAGAAGGAAAGGAGTATCTCTGAATATTACTCTGCTAGTTATTGCCAACTCTGCAGGGGTGGGTGGGGATTGGGTACTCATCTCCATTTCAAGGCCATAAGGCAGAGTTTATGGATGGCCAAACAGCTAGTCCTCGACTTACAACAGTTCATTTAGTGACCATTCAAAGTTACAATGGCATTGAAAAAAGTGACTTACAACACTTATGGCCGTTGCAGCATCCCCAGTCATGTGAATTACAGTCAGATTCTTAACAACTGATTCATAATTATGACGGTTGCAATATCCTGGGGTCATGTGATCATCTTTTGTGACCTTCTGACAAGCAAAGCCAATGAGGAAGGCAGACTTACTTAATAACCGTGTTACTAATTTAACAACTGCAGTGATTCACTTAAGAAAAGTCGTAAAATGAGGCAAAACTCACTCAATTATTTTCTCACTTAGCAACATAAATTCTGGGTTCAATTGTGGTCATAAGTTGAAGACTACCTGTAATTATAAATGGATCAGGTCCCACTAAGGGTTTTTAAAAATACCTGTTCTATGATTATGGTCTATGCATTGCTTTCTTTTCTGTACATGCTCTGCCACACCATACAGGCCTAATGTATTCAAGGGGTAATACAAAACTGGAAGATCATGTTTGACTAGGAAGCACAATGGAATATAAAGTGCTGCAGCTTGCTGTGTTATTTGCTGAGCAACAAGATTTCCCTCCGAAATATCCTCATAAATAAGATCAAGAGATTGCATTGACCTATATTAAGACTCAGAATTTTCTTTGGCATGTGATTTCTCTAGTCTTGATCCTTTCAGATGTGCTAGGGCTAGAGTTCTCATAAGTCTAAGTAAGCACTGCCCACAGCCAATGTTTCACAATTCTGGGACACTTAGATAGAATTACCTACTAACTACTGTATGGTTTTTGGGAAGAAACTTCTTATGAATTGGGTTCATGTGTGGGTTTTTTATTTTTTTCAATCTTGTAGAAGCCAGCTGCCCTCCTTGTGGATCTCAGTCTTGGAGTTGTACCCTGGTGGTCTTCCATGAATATTGTACCTGCATTCCTAGAAGTTTTTGCCGAGATGGAATACAACATTGCTTTGACTGGTCTGATGAATACCTCTGTACAAGATAAAGCAGATGATGTGATGACCATAACCTTGCAGAAACTAAAAAACAACCCACTAAGAACCAGGCTGTTGTGGAACTGCAGATAATTTTAAAGGGACCTCACAAAGGATGTTTCATTCAGTGTTGTTGCTCTTCACAGCATTTGCCCTGCTTGGTTTCAGGGGCCGTTTGTTTTGCTCTGCATTCACCTAGTTCTCACAGTGAAGCCATTCATCCATGACAGACAAGGGGATTTTGGTTTTCATTCAGTTTGTTGCAGAACCTGACACTGCTGTTTCCGGATCAGCGACTTGCTTAAATTCAGTCTTTATAATCTTCAAATTTTGCACAGGATGCTCACATAACAATAAAACACCTTCTTATTTGTAAACCAGAGGTTATGAACTTTCACCTTATATCAGTTTCAGTTGTTTATGAGTTTATAAATATACAGAAGATCCACATCTGATAATTAAATGGCAGGCCAGGAGCCAAGTTAGCTAGAGAAAAACAGGGAAAGAAACCACATAATTATATAAAGGCTTTCCCAAGTTTATGAATGCCTCCTCCCACCTCCCTAAATATCTGGGATTCTCTTCAGAGCATTTTACTTTAAAACAGGTAGTCCTCAACTTACAGCTCAGTTACTGTTCAAAGTTACAACAGTACTGAAAAAACTGACCACCATATTTCACACTTACAACTGTTGTAGCATTGCCATGGTCACATGATAAAAATACAGATGCTTGGAAACTGGTTGATATTTATGACAGTTGCCATGCCCAGGGGGTCACGTGGTCAGCTTTTGCAAACTTCTAACAAGCAAAGTCAATGGGAAGACCAGATGCACTTAACTATCGTGTTGCTATAAGCTTTCACCCTCAAGGCTCCACCTGACTGCTGTTCTGTGTGTTGCTTTTTTTCATCTGCAAGCCAAACTTGCTAAACTTTGGCAGGGAGACTATCTGTACACTGCAAGGGTCTCTGTTTGCACACCTCATTTAATGAAGAGAATGAACACACCCCTTCGTGTATTTGGATATGTGCTTGGCCTGGGACAGGAGAGTTTATAATGTGGAATGGTCAAACTTAGTTGGCGAGCTCCAAATTTTGAAACCCAAAACTGCACAAGCAGTTGTATTGTTTCTCCCCAAAAGTACAAATGTATATTTTTGAACATCACAATTTACATAAACAGTTCAACCATAACACTTTTCAGCCATTGTGTTTACTGTATTATATTTAATTCCCTGTGGTCAAGTCTTGCCGTTTCTTCAGATACTACATACAAAGAGGTTACATCATGCAAGAATTACTTGCATGAATTAAAGACGCCCAACAAAAATCAATACCCGGGGCAAAAATGAACCATAGCTAGTATCATTCCCAGCAGTTTCTCAGTGAATCCCCTTTATGTTTACCCAAACATGGTAAAGTGCTCATTTATTGTATGTATAGAAGTACAGCAAGTGTTTTGTTTTCTTTACAGTGGCTTCAAGTTGATTTCTTTCCAGTCCATCAACTGCAAAAATAGAATGCACCATTTATTTTCCAAGAGAAACAAAGCTGAACATCAGCCAATTAGTTTAAAACGTTCACTTTATTCAATAAGAGTTTAGCAGGTCCCATTCTGTCTGTGAAAAGCTAAAGAGTTCTGATTGAAGGTGGTGGTTCTTTTGCTCAGCTGCAGTTCTCCTTCTCTTCGGGAATTCTTCAATCATTTCCATATCTCTCTGTGGTAAAAGATTATCTGATGTCTCTCTTCTTTCTTTGTAGAACTGCAAGTTCTCACAATTTTCTCTTTGCTTTTCTCCTAACAAGGATTCTTGAGATCCTTCTGCTCTAGGTCTTTTTCCATCTGCAAACAACAACAACAACAAAAACCCACTCATGAAGTGGCCACAATTGCATTTTTATGTTGTTATGTTTTGGCTAGCAGTATCAAAAAAAGAACATTAACTTATATAGATAAAGCATTTTGAAGGCTTCCAAATGTTTCAAAGGATTATTTTAATTCTTCCAGTCATTTTAAATGAAGCCTGAGTAAAGGAGGAATCATATTTCATGAGGAGAGAGAAGTTTTTAAAAACCCCACTTTAAGTTAACTGTTACCATCTGTCCATGTACAACCTCTTTAGCTCACAGCTTCAGTGAGCAAAAATATATCTCATTTTTTTTAAAGTAGTTTTAGCTTGAAAACAACTATCTTTATTCAATTACTTACAGAAACGTTGAGCTGCTAGTTTAGATTTTATACTTTCTTTGGAGTTAACTACTTCTAGGACTGCATGTTTCCACTGCAAGATAACCTGAAAAAGTTAATTTCAATATTGAGTATACTGATTTTTGTATGACAATCAACCTAAATGCAAAATATAATATTACTTAATTGTGTATAAATTATGATACTTAGGATGAACAAGTGTCATTAATGGCAAAAACTAAGTGATAGTTAACTGAATTGAAAGAATATTATAATATCTGCAACAGCTATCCTTTTTACAGTCTTAAGCCAAAGTTTATTCATTTAAAAATACATTTATTGTTAAATAATCATTTATTTATATTTCTATACCTCCCTCAAAGAAGGACTCTATAATATATAATACTTGTAATATTAGCATAACTATATTGATAGAATGAATATCCAGTTATATATTTTATACTTTATTTTATGAATACTTCATAAATATATACTATACATTTAAAATAGAATATTAATAATCTATTATATAACTGTCATGCTGAAATAATATACTGTATAAAAACTGAGAAGATAGAACAACATGATCTACTTAGATTTAATAACACGTTAAAGGACTAAGCTAGTTCTACATTAATATATATATGTTTCTTCAAATGTTACTAATTTAATTAGTTTTGTATATTCTTTTTTACTATATAAGCAATGTTACATTTTGTTTGTACTTCATCCTATCTTCTTGCAGTTATATTTTATGAATAACATATTTAAGCATTAAAAAAGAAAATATTTATTATTTATGCCTGACATTTTAAAACATTCAGACTCACAAGCTCATCTTTCGGATATTAAAAATGGATACTGATAATTTAGGAAGTACCTGATCTGCCCATCCTTCTGTTTTGCAGCTGCTATGATCAAATTCTTTCAAAGGAATCTTTGAATGGACTAGGTCTATGAGCATGTGGATTTGATCAATGACTTCTTTTGTGCCCTGACAATAAAGAGAAACCAAACTAGATTGGCTATGTTCATGTCATAAAGTAATGTCTAATGGCTTGGCTTTGCAAATTGTTTAGCCTTTTTGTTTATAAGCAATGCTTTATAGCTTAGTGCAATGAGGTGGCCACACTTATATTATTTATTTATTTTTACTGATTGAAAAAAACGCCTAGCTCCCGATGATTTTGGGTGCAAATCAAATATATATATATATATATATATGTGTGTGTGTGTGTGTGTGTGTGTGTGTGTGTGTATCCTTGGTTATTCGGGTTTTCTCCCGCGTAAAATTGGAAGTATCTAGGCAACGTTTCGATGAAGTCTCATTCATCATCTTCAGGCTTGTGTCTTCGGCTTTGTGCTCCTCAGAGTAATGTGAGCTTGCAGCTGCTTCTTCCTTTTAACAGCTAGTGGGGGTGTGACTTGATTGGGTGGGGGCTTGGCTGTGTTCTGATTGGCTGGGGGTGTGTTCTCATTGGTTGGGGGTTTGGCTGTGTTCTGATTGGTTGGGGGGGTTGGCTGTGTTCTGATTGGCTGTGGGTGTGTTCTGTTCAGGTGGGGGCTTGGTTGTGTTCAGGTTAGTCTTAGTTGCTGGGGGATTTGAGCTAGTGAGCTGTGATCCTGCTGTTTGGCTTTGTGTTCATGGTCGTGCCACAACTTCATGGCGGGCGTCAGTTCACGTCATGTATGGGTCGGAGGGGTTTGAAGTGGGTAGTGATGCAGCTGCGGTATGGCTTCTGGTCCATGGTTGTGTCTCATCTTCTGTGTGGGTGTCTTATCTTCTGCTTTCTATGTGGAAGTGTGGTGGTAGCATCTTGTGTGGCCCTCGTGCGTGTGGGTCTGGTGTCATTCTTCATGTTAGGTACTCATTTGTTCATGAGGGCGGGTTTCCAAATGGCTGGTAGGCGGGAGGTATCATCTTGTTTATTCATGCTGTGTGGGCGTTTTTCTATCTCTATTGCTTCTCTGATTATTCTGTTGTTGAAGTGTTCAGTTTTGGCGATAGTTCTGGAATTTTTAAAGTCAATCTCATGTCCTGTGGCTTTGAGGTGTTGGACCAGGGAATAGGTTGGTTCTTCTTTTTTGATTGAGTTCTTGTGTTCTTCAATGCATGCACTTATTCTTCTGTTAGTTTGTCCTTTGTATGTGGTGGGGCAGGCGGTGCAAGGGATATATATTATATGTATGTTATTCAGCTTTGTTCGGGTATTTTCCCACGCCATTAGAGTTGTGCTTTTAAAGTTGTAGCAACGTTTCGGCAGAATCTCATCTGCCATCATCAGGCTTCTGTATTGTGTTCGTCGACACAGACGAACACTATACAGAAGCCTGATGATGGCAGATGAGATTC